GTGTCCAAAGGTGCTCGCGTCCCTCAGCGAGGACCCGTGGGAGCTCGGAAGTGTCGGTGCCTGGGGCGGGGTCTGGACCGGGAGATGGAATCGGTGGAAGGGCGAGCATTCAGGTCGATTCCAGAGTCGGATGCGGGGCCTTCCCAGGGGGCGGGGCAGCCTGGCGCGGGGGCCTGCGTGTGGAGCTGGGCGGGACCCAGCCCTGACCCGGTCTCTCTCTGCTCCCTCTGCAGCTGGCCGAGCGCTTTTCCGACGCGGCGCTGGTGTCGATGTCTGTGCGGGAGTTAAACCGGCAGCTGCGGGGCTGCGGGCGCGACGAGGCGCTGCGGCTGAAGCAGAGGCGCCGCACGCTGAAGAACCGTGGGTACGCGCAGGCCTGTCGCTCCAAGCGGTTGCANCGGGCCGAGGTGGCCCGCCTGGCCAGGGAGCGCGACCTCTACAAGGCTCGTTGTGACCGGCTGTCCTCCAGCGGCCCTGGGTCCGGGGACCACCTCCACTTCTTTCCCTGAGCCACTTAGGGCCGAGGAGTAGTGGAATAGGTTGGGTTGGGGATCACTATACAGGAGGCAGCTGTTCTATTCACGAGGTGGTTATTGAGCGCCTAGTGCCAGACACTCCTTTGTATGACCACAGCAATATCCCCAAATTAACTGGATCCTCAAGGCATGCTCTGAGGTTAGATGATGGTCATTTTCTGGGAGAGGGTTCCCCTCCCCTCAAGCAGGCCATGCACAAAAACTCTCTCCTTTTTGTCCAAATCCACACGACCAGGATACTGATATCTGCAGGAGCCAGTGCCAGGCACTGTGTGTGTGTGTGTGNCCCTCAAGCAGGCCATGCACAAAAACTCTCTCCTTTTTGTCCAAATCCACACGACCAGGATACTGATATCTGCAGGAGCCAGTGCCAGGCATTGTGTGTGTGTGTGGGGGGGAGGTGTGTGTGTGTGATGACTGGGTGACAGTGCATGGGAGGTGAGGGAGTGTTGCAGCTTCCCACTCAGTTTAGATTTTAATTCAAGGTTTTCAACCTGTAGTGCATTAGGTAGTAATTAACAATAAGACTGTATTTTCATTCTGGGGCTTGTAACCTCCCCATTTAGTACTATTGCATTTGCAAGATTTTAACTCTCAATAGCAAGATAGACTAGGAACTTTATCCAAGAGCCTTTCCTCCTACCCAGCCCAGTGGCCTCCAGGGCCCAGAGCTGCAAAGGCCTGAGGAGCGCTGGGGGTGGTTAGTGTGGGCTGTGAAAAACCCTGAGCAGCAATCTGGAGACCTGGGTACTCCAGCTCCACCACAGGATACCTCTGTAATCTTGAGCAAATCATTTGCTCCCTGGGTCTTGGTTACCTCCTCTAATCCTTATTTGGATTGGATGACTTCTGACACCTTTGCAGTTCTGGTATTTCCTTGGTGTGGGAGTCCAGCGTCTTCCCCGAGACAGTCTCAACAAAGGGGCTTCCTGTCCTGCTCCAGCTTCCTGGCTGCAGCCTAGGCAGTGGATGAGCCCACACACTGGTCCTCTGCTGCTCCCTGCAGGCTGCTGCAACCTCCAGACCTACATAAGGTGACCCTGCTACCTCCTGCCTTTCTGAGGGCTGAGGGGAGACTTTCCCAGGCATGACGAGGAGCTGAGAGAATGCAGCTTTTGTGAATTAAACTTGAAGTCTAAGCAGAACTTTATGCTATTGACTAATGTTCTTGCAATTTAAGAAATGTTCATTCTTTATCCTTGCTTCAGACTTGTGGGGAGAGGGAGAGGGAGAGGGAGAGGGAGAGGGAGGGAGAAAGAGACACTGGGCAGCCCTCAGCTGGGCTGAGTTGTGTATTTCAGTTCTGGAGGCCCAATGAAAATGGGGTGGAGGGGTGGGGATTGGGCCAGATGGAGCCTCCCCCTCCCACCACTTCTGCACAGAAGCCCAGGAGCATCAGTGACTGGGCCAGGCCTCTCTATAGCTATCCTGAAGTCTCATAGTTGCCATGGTAATCCAGCCCTCTGCTTCAGCAGCCTATTGTGAGAGTGGGTGGGGGGATCTGGGCAGATCAGAGGCATTGAACTGGGAGCAGCAAACTCACCAGCTACTGTCATAGGTGCTCTAAGTGACATAATAAATGGGGAGAAGCAGTCAGGCGTGGGTGAAGAAGCTCCCATATGTCTCTCTTCCTTCTGCCCCCTCTCTCCACCCCTTCCCCAGCTGTCTCTTCCCATCCCAGTTCTATTCCCTCCTCCCCCTCCTCTAGCCCAGCTTGTCCCTCCTCCACTCAGGAGCCTGCAATGAGAGGCCTCTCTTCCATCTCCCCCAGGATTTCTTTCTCTTCTCTTCTCCTACCACTGGCTATTGGCTATTGGCTACCCTCTTTCACTGTGGCTGGCTCATGGCACCTTTAGCCTCTCCTTCATGCCCTTCCACAAACATCACTGAAGGGAGAGGCTGGGGCAGGGAGGGTCCCCCCAGGAGCCCAGCTCCTCTTCCCTCACTCTGGGTCTCATAAGTGTCTCACCTGCTCTTTGGAGCTGCAGTCCAGACCCACTACTACTGTTCTTGCACACTTTACTTGATTGGGCAGCGAGGCCCATCCACAGGCACCTACACCATACACACAATCAGGCCACATATACATACACCTGGGTCACAGGATGAGGGTCACACAGATACATCCCACACAGAAGTTGCACACTAGTGATTAAGAGTGTGGGTACTTTAGTCAGATGGTCCTGGGCTCAAGTTCCAGGCGTACTGGTTCTTCTTTGGCTAAACAATAATGTGTGCTGCTATTGTTAATGTTATTAAGAATACACAGCTGGACTACCTAAACCATTAAGGCCATACTCCTGGAAAATCAGTGATGTGCAGTGCATGAAAACACACACACATACACACACACACACACACACACACATTTACATAACCAGGAAAGCCAGGTGGCATAGACTTAGATGCCCCCTCTGTATTCATAATTCACTAGTAGACCTGCTGCCCTCCTGCAGTGCCCACACACCCCTTCTGGTCCCCATCCCACAGCTGTGTGGGAGCTGGAGTTCAGCCCCTGGGGACTCAGCTGGGCTTCTCTGGAGACAGATGTAAAAAGGATTAGCCTGCCCCCTTGACAGCCCCTTATTACTTCCCCCTTCTCCAATAATTAGCCCCCATGGTGAGTGGGCCCCCTGGGGTTGGAAGGTGGGGATAGGGGCTTGTCAGATCTCATTGGTACATAGTTGGGGTGAGACTATAGAGACATCTGGCTGCCTGGTGAACTGTGGCCCAGTTTTCAAAAGGTGCTGGTTCCTATTTCTTTTTTTTTAAATATATCTTTATTGATTTCAGAGAGAGGAAAGGAGAGGGTGAGAGAGAGATAGAAACATCAATGATGAGAGAGTCATTGATTGAGCCCACACCTGGGCATGTGCCCTGACGGGGAATCGAACCCCAAATGCCTGGATCCTAGGTCGATGCTCACCACTGAGCCATGCCGGGCTGGGCTGGTTCCTATTTCTTAATGGTGTTTGTGGGTGCTACAGACTGTCCAATGAGCATCTGAGACATGATGGGTAGAGGCTGAGGTGCTAAGAGTGGTTCCCTTTATTAACGGCCAGAAGGTTAGGATCACTGAAGAGAGTCATTGAGGGGCCACAAGGCTATGGGGCCTGGAGAGATAGGGCAGGACTCTCTACTCACTTCCAGGACCCAGGGGGCACAGCTGATCCAAGAGGGAGAGGCACTGGTCACTCCAGTCACAAGGGTCAGGACAGGCACCTGAGAGAGGGTGGCATAGTCATAAGCACCCGCCTCTATAGCACACCCCACCAAGGTGGGCTCCACCAAGCCCCACCTTGCACCCCCTAGTGTCCACCCCTTTGGGCCCTCAGGACTCACTGAGAGGCTGAGGGAGTGTCGGTCCGGTGGGAGGCAATCACGGGCTGGGGCTGGGGGTGGTGGCCGGCGTGCAGGGCCTGGGCGCCCCTGGGCTGATGCCCTGACTGGCGTAATACTCCACCACCTGCCGGGGCACCTCGGCCAGGACGCACTTAGCCAGCGCGGAGGGTGCGGCCTGCCGGTCGGGGGCGTGGGGCGTGGTTAG